CTTTTCAACCATCGACACCATTTTAAACCCTGATTTTAGCATGTCTCTTTTAACCCCCACAGACTCCCTCTGTGAGGATTTTGCAGTCCACTTCACGGGGAAGATAAATACAATCAGATGTAACGTTTTATCCAACCACACTACTGTTTTTAACACATCTGATTGTTTGTCTTCGCCAGAGGAAACACTGGACAGTTTTGTCCTGGTTGATGCTGAGATGCTTGATAAAGTTTTATCCCCACCACATGTCTTTTAGATCCAGTCCCCACTCAATTTTTTAAGTCATTTTATGAATCTTTTAGAGAGGAGCTTTTAAACCTGATGAATTGCCCTCTTCAGACTGGGGTCTTTACTGCAGCCTTCAAAGCGGCTGTGGTGAGACCCCTTCTGAAGAAGAGCAATTTAGATTTTAATGATCTTAACAACTACAGACCGGTATCCAACTTACCATTTTTAAGCAAAATTTTAGAAAAACTTGTTTTTACCCAGCTCAATGCCTTTTTAGATCAGCAGCAAATTTTAGAGAAATTTCAATCAGGATTTAGGGCGAACCACAGCACAGAGACGGCTCTTTTAAAGATTTTAAATGATTTTAGATTAAATTATGATTCTAAAAAGGTGACTGTGTTGGTTCTACTGGATCTTAGCGCTGCCTTCGACACAGTAGACCACACCATTCTTTTATCACACCTACAACACCTCGGCCTCTCTGGTGCTGTCCACAAATGGTTCACTTCTTATTTAACAGACAGATCCTTCATGGTGAGTTTGGATACCTGCTCCTCTCAGGTCCATAAAATTACATGTGGTGTGCCCCAGGGTTCCATTTTAGGTCCAGTCCTTTTTAACCTGTACATGCTCCCTCTTGGCGGTGTCATCAGGAGACATGGAATTGACTTCCACAGTTATGCAGATGATACTCAGCTGTACATCTCCATGTCTCCTGACGACACCAGGCCAATGGATGCTCTTTTTAACTGCATTTTAGACCTGAAATCCTGGATGGCAGAAAACTTTCCCCAGCTCAACCAGGACAAAACTGAGGTTTTAGTCATCGGTCCTGAGGCCCAGAGAGAGAAACTTTTACCGAAACTCCAATCACACTCTTTTAATCCATCATCACAAGTGAAAAACCTGGGCGTAATCTTTGACTCTGAGCTGACTTTTATTCCTCACATCAAGAACATCACAAAAATAGGTTTTTATCATTTAAAGAACATCGCCAGAGTCCGCCCCATTCTCTCTCGGGGCAACACGGAGACGCTGATGCTTTTATCACCAGTCGCATTGACTACTGTAATGCCCTGCTCTCTGGTCTTCCCAAAAAGAACATTTCAGGTTTACAATTACTTCAAAACTCGGCCGCACGTGTCCTGACTAAGACCAGGGGGCGGGACCACCATAAACCGGTTTTAAAATCGCTGCATTGGCTCCCCGTGTGTTTCAGGATCGATTTTAAGGTTCTTTTAATGGTTTTTAAATGTATTAATGGTCTTGGGCCTTCTTATCTTTCAGATTTGCTTTTATCCTATGAACCTTCCCGGCCCCTGCCCTCCGGCAGCAGACTCCTAACCATCCCCAAAGTCAGGACACACACTCACGGTGAGGCATCTTTCCAGCACTACGGCCCCCGTCTCTGGAACAGTCTGCCGGAGGAGCTCAGGGCCGCAGAGAACGTTCATATATTTAAGAGTAGGCTCAAGACGCACCTTTTTAGAGTAGCTTTTGATTAGTATTTATTATTTATTATTGCTTTTTAGTACATCTATTTATGTTTTTAGACACATTCTATTTTAATGTATTTTTATCATTTACTATTTTTAATTATTTATTGTATCTACCCATTTACTATTGTTATTATTAATATTAGGCAGCTGCCATTTTTCTTTTTATTTTCACATTTTATTGTTCTACTTTCTATTGTATTATTGTATTGTTTTAGTGTCCCCAGTGTTTCCTCTGGAGGAGCCCTCTGCACTGAGAGCTGGGGTCTGCTGCGGCTTCGGGGGTCTGGCTCTTGGATCCGGTGGGGGTCTGGGGCCTCCTCTCTCCTCTGGGTCCTATGGGGTCTGAGTCCTGGGCCTGGTGGGGTCTGGGGCCCCTCTCTCCTCTGGGTCCTGTGTCGTTCCCTGTGGCTGCAGCCGGCTCTCTGCTCCTGGTGCAGATGGCTCCTTGGATGGCGCTTCTTCAGCCGGTTACATCTGCTCCCAGCCCCATTTCTTTTTATTGTTTTACCTATTTTACCTGATATGACTTTATACTTGTGTATATGTGTGTGTGTGTGTGTGTGTGTGTGTGTGTGTGTGTGTGTGTGTGTGTGTGTGTGTGTGTGTGTGTGTGTGTGTGTGTGTATACGCATGTGGTTGTATATATAATTATAAATGTGGTTTTGGGGGGGTCTGTGGGGAGGAGGGTTTAGGGCTGGGCATGTTGGATTGTTTTTAACTAAACTGTAAAGCACTTTGTGTTACACTTTTTGTATGAAAAGCGCTTTATAAATAAAATTTGATTGATTGATTGATTGAGTTGTTTTTGTTTTTTTAGAAAGAGATTTTGAGTTTAAATTAGTTTGCTACCTCGATAAAATAGAAGCGTAAACGTTAAAGTAAGAGTGCCTTTTGTTACAAGTGTGGAAAGTGATCACTTCTAGACTTGGATGACAAAAGTATAAACCACAACATCAGTTATATTCGCTTAAAAAAGTCATCTTGAAAGTTCTTCTTCTTTCTGTTTTTGCATTTTTGCAAAAACACTACTTTCTGCCTGTGTGTGTGCACATCTCTATCTTGCTGCCGTTGTCAGGGGAAACGGCCCCCTCCTTCGCTACTCCGGCTCTGAATCAAAACCTACTGCTTTTAGGATTTTGGCTTTTCATAGTTTTTATTCCATTAAATTTGCTAAATTTGCCATTGAGCATTGTGTTATAACACAGTTAAACGTTTTAAACATTTAGTAAAAATAAGTTTTGAATATTGTGTTTTTTGAAATCCAAAGATTAGTACAAAAAAGCTTTGCTTTTCTTTTTAAATCTGCTGCTTATTTTTTGAGTCCATTATTGTATCTCTGATATATTTCATAGCTGTTTGAGAATTTTTTCATGTATTTTTTATATTAGTTACAAAAGCCGTTTTTCAAACATTTAAATTAGAATCTGTGTTAAAAGTGATTATTGATTATAGACCGTCTAAAAAGAAAGAGGGAATTAGGATTAGCTGTAAAAGTATTATATTATTGAATTGAACTCTACCCAATTCACCCAATTCACATTGCAAGCGGTGACTTTTTTGTTTTGACTATGCACCTGACAAGGTCAGATGCACGCAGCACAGGAGACTGCTATGAAATGTGCTCCAATTCATATTGACTTCATTTGAAAAAATGCTGCAATTATTTTAAATTAGTAGAATATATGCTGAGATAAATGTTGTGATGTAAGTGATTAATCCAGTTTAGTTAATCTTTTGATTTGATTTCATGTTTTAAAGTTATGTTTTAAAGGAATAGTTCACCGTTTTTACATACTGACAAATGTTCTTACCTTACCTTAGACTAGTTAATACGTACCTGTCTGGTCTTAGTCCGTGCGCTCTGTCATGCAAACGGAGCAAAAACGGGAGCACAACCGCAGCCTCCTCTGTATATTTTGTAGCACCAAAAGGTAGCTCCCGCTAGAAGCTACCAAACTCTTCCAAGTGTTCCCTATTAAATGTATATAGTTACGTGACGTGTTACACTGCAAAGTATAGTAACACAGAAATGTAACAGTCAATTTTCTCAGCGGATAAAACGGGTACTATATTGTGAGGCGTAGTAATCTGAGGGGCGCTACGTCCGCGCACTAACTTCTCTCCGGAGACTTCTTTCTCGCTCACTTCCGTCAATAGAAGCAGCGTGACTTGTAGTACACACAGTAGCAGCGAGAGAGAAGTCTCCGGAGAGAAGTGACGTAGCGCTCCTAACTTCTCTGCGCACTAACTTCTCTCCGGAGACTTCTCTCTCGCTGCTACTGTGTGTACTACAAGTCACGCTGCTTCTATTGACGGAAGTGAGCGAGAGAGAAGTCTCCGGAGAGAAGTTAGTGCGCGGACGTAGCGCCCCTCAGATTACTACGCCTCACAATATAGTACCCGTTTTATCCGCTGAGAAAATCGACTGTTACATTTCTGTGTTACTATACTTTGCAGTGTAACACGTCACGTAACTATATACATTTAATAGGGAACACTTGGAAGAGTTTGGTAGCTTCTAGCGGGAGCTACCTTTTGGGTACTATACAGTACATAGGAGGCTGCGTTTGTCCTCCCGTTTTTGCTCCGTTTGCATGACAGAGCGCACGGACTAAGACCAGACAGGTACATATTAACTAGTCTAAGGTAAGGTAAGAACATATGTCAGTATGTAAAAACGGTGAACTATTCCTTTAATGTTTTTTCAAATTCATTTTCATTTTTACCCAACCCAAGAATGCATAGATAATTAAACACACAGTACAAAAGTACATAATACATATTTTAAAGTTTGAAGGTTTTTTGAGATTTGAGTCTTGTTTTTATTAAGAGAGTTTCTGGTTTTAAAAAGTTTCACATTAGTAAGATAATAAGTAATCTTTATTTATATAGCGCATGTTGGAAAGCCAAGAGTGCTCCAAAATTGTTTAGACTTTAGAGAGAAAAACAATCTCACTCACAAACTGATATCTGTTGTTTTTAATTTGACTATAAGGTTGTATTCCAGAACCAAGGGCACACACTGTACAGGGTCACTGGACTGCAGGAGTGGACACTGAGAGCTCAGACCACAGGAGCCCAGCAACACCCACCCAGGCACAGGTCACAGATCAAAGAGCAAAGGAAAATGCCACCTCCTTGCCCCTCCCCACGCCACTCCAGAACTGAGTGGGTGTGAGAGAGACCGGGTAGAGAGAGGTGTCTGGAGACGTGATGGTGGAGCATCAGGGAGAGACCTGAATGAGAGTTGAGAGTGTGTCCAGTTGGTTTGCATCACCACAGTGTGACCTTTGACACCTGCAGGTGGTTCGAGGAGTCTGGAGACACAACCCCAAAATTCACACCCTACATACACACACACACACACACACACATACATTCATACACTCACACATTCACATTTACATATAGATACATGAAAAAGCAGGACATGAGGAAAAAAGCATTTTAAAAGTTTACTCCAATGTAAACACATTTTTAATTGTCTATCACTTGAATTTTTATTTGAATCAGTATTTTTTGAGACCAGAAATGTTAATTTGAATTCTATATCGTCATGGACTTAATTGACGTCTGTCCTGACACTTTTTATGTTTTGATTTTGTACTGTGTGAAGTAATTACATTGATTAGGATTAGATCCAATAAAAACACAAATTAGAGAAGTAAACTGAATCATTGCGCTTGCTTTTGTCTGAGGAACATTAGCAACAGCATGAATAGATATTGTCTTTAAAGTAGAATCAAAGTTAATTAACCATAGAAAGTAACTATTGCATAACAAGCTGTGTACAGGAACTGTGACACTGCACCATTGACCAGAAGTGCATCGCAAATGACCTGATGTGCTTCAAGTGAAAAGACTGTATCTGGAGATCCTGATGTGCATCTGGAGAAACCAAACCATGGCTTGGTCCCTACTGATGTCCAAGATGACATCTCTCCAAATATGACCTGACCTGATGACGACTGAGACTCACCCTCAGGGGACCCTGAGGAACTGAGGACCCTGAGGACCCTGAGGACCTGAGGATCTGAGAGAGAAAAACTGGGGAGTGATGTTTATATTTTTAAAATCATGCCATTGATGAGTGCTAAATGAGAGAGATACTCATGATTCTTTCTTTTGTTTTTGTTTGTCCCTAGCTTCTGGACATCTGATGATCTATTGGACACAGACATTTGCAGAACAAGAACCAGCCAATGAAAAATTGTCTATTGCCGATGCTATTGCTACAACCAGAACCTGTGACCAAATGCAATACATGGAAATTATTCAGACATCTGACAGACAAAAACTTTGACTTTTTAGTCTGGGAGACTGAGCAACTGTTAAAATGTTTTAAAATGATAAAGTATGAGTATTGTAGCGTTTTAGTAGATGTTAAATAGTAGTAAAAAAGTAGAATTTGACTTGCTTTGTTTTTCATAAACACATTTCCATTGTAAGAGTTAAAATAGTACCCTACAATGTTATCCTTCTGATAGAGCAGATAAAATATTAGAATCAGAATAATGTTAAAGCTATTAAAAGTGACAGAAGTCACAAACTAGAAATATGCCTTGGCTCAAGCTGCAACCAAGCTCTGGAGTTAAAAAATAGTGTAGAAATAGAAATAGATAAATGCATCAACCATAGATGCTTTCAAAAATAGAGATTATTTGTAGCCAGTGCTAATATCAAATGGTAAAGGGACCATTTCACAAACCTTTACTTCAAAAGTAGATAAAGTTCATTACAGTTTTATGTACAGTTTTATTAGATACTTGCCAAATTCACTTGTTTCAAACATCTGTGAATGTTCACAATGCAAAAAGTTCATGAGTGTAGCCTAGACTAATGCCTAGATTAATGAGATCGATTACAACCAACAGCTATAGTGAATCATGAAAGTACAGTACACAGTCTAAGATTAAAAAGTGAAAATAATACAGTGAAATAAGTGTAGTGTAAACAATTATCATTAGAATAAAAGTATAGAGTAAGAAAAGTGAAATTAGCTTCAAATTGAGACTCAGCTCGTTTTTTGTCTGTGTTTTGACTGAATCTGCTGAGTTCTACTGTGTCCAATAGTGTTTGTTTTTATTTTTGTTTGTTTTTGTTTTTTGTTTATTTATTTACTTTTTTTAGTTTTTTCCCCAGGATAGAGGATAAAATCCACTGATGTTGATTTGATGATTATAAGTTTAATGCATACATTTTCTTTGTTTTTAAATAATTTTGTTAAGTTTTTTTTTTGTAGATTTTTTTTTTCTCACTTTATTGATTGATCAAATTGAGTGATCACATGTGATTATGTGATCAAAGGGGTGAGTGTTAGTATTAGATAGCAATATGGCCTACGTGCAGGACTGTACAAGGACTCTGATTATTTTGACTATGATGTGACTGTCTCTGTGTGACACGTATGTCTTTCGATGTGTGACGTGACAATGACTATATAAACTGTGTACTGACTCCATTCTGTCTGAGAGAAAGAAGCAAAGGAAACCACTGGAACTTGAGAGAAACTTAAATAAACTTCCAGAGTTTGGCGCACCACGATCCGTCTCTGTCTGCTTCATCCCTGACAGCACAATTCATACACAAGGAAACACAAGTGCTGAACAAAAGAAAGTATTAATATAAATAATCACAGTACATCAACAAAGATAAATATAAAATCCCTCAGTTGTATGCACAGCTAAAGTGAGACAGGCCTCCTCTCTGACAATGTTTAAAACCAGGTTAAAAACAGTTTGGTTTAGCTGTGCTACAACTGAGGTATTTTATATTTATCTTTTTTAATGTACTGTGATTATTTATTTTAATGCTTTCTTATTTTTCCCGGTTAGAGGCGGCACGGAAGTACAGAGCCACGCACATTAAGCTTCTATCTAGAACGCTGCCAAATTACAACCCCGAGGAGGCTATTGGACAGTTCAGAGTTGTAATTTTTTAATTACCTATGTGTGAGCATAAAGCTGTGGTGTGTGTGTGTTTTAATAAAGCTTTCTTTGTATGAACGTCCATCCATCCATCCATCCATTTTCTTCCCCTTAATCCATTTCTGGGTCAGGGGGGTGGCAGTCAGAGCTGCACCCAGTACACAGAGCACCAGCCCCTCACTGACCCTCCTGCAGGTGGTGAGTCCACAGGAGCTGAGATGAACGTATTCCTGGAAAATGTTCATTTCCTCTATAAATTCATTCATGTCATTGATGGCCTAATAATAGTGTAGTAGCCTACATAGGATAAAATATATGCAGCATAATATGAATAAATATATATTTATATAAATATTATTACATTAATTATGAGGCAGGGTGACCAATAGTGACAGATCTGCCAGCCAATCACGAGAGATTATACTTATTTGAAAGTAGTGATTTCATCCAATGGGGAGTAAGCTTCATCCAATGGGGAGTAAACTTCATCCAATGGGGAGTAATCCCACGTGGGCTGGCCACGTGTGATTTTTCAGCCAATCACGAGTTTGAAAGAAGTGGTATCTGCCAATGCTGAATAGTGTTCTGAAGCAGCCTGGCCATTCATATGCTAATTAGGGCCATTAGCGCTCGGCCGGCCGCAGTGTTTCGCTGCATTCATATGCAAAGTAGGGACATTAGCATGGTACGGATGCGGCAGTTTGGAGGACAGGGCACGCTAACTGCGCGTTTTGAAAACTGCCTGAGATTGCCGAAAAAGCGCGTGATTTCCTGCCGTTTAGGGTGACGAAAATCTAACTTTTCATGCAGTGTACATCATACACAGACACAGACAGACAGGAAAAGATGGAAAAACAATGTTGAAGTCAATTGATGTCAATGACAACACAAGTTGACAGCCAAAAAATGGTCAGGGGTTTCTCAACTGATTTAGATTAATTTTGGTGTTCTGAGTCCGAATATCACATACATTTTGCTCTATCAGGTCAACTTTTTGAGATACAGCCATAGTGTTACGGATTACGTACGTCTACGTTATTATGAATTCTGCTTATCAAATTTGATGGAGTAAATAAAAACTGAATGACTTTGGATACGTTGACTTTTATTTCTTGAGGAAAACGGAAAAAACATCAACGGTTTCTCAGCTGATGATCCGCAGAAATTTGTTTTTTACGCAAAATCGATTTAAAAAAATATTTCTGTAGCAAAAAATCCTGACCTGATTGAGCAAAACCAAGGTCATTTTCGGACTCAGAGCATCAAAATTAGTCTAATTCAGCTGGAAAACCCTGGACTATTTTCTAAAAATATTTTTTTGTTATCCAGTGCAATGAGTTAATCTAAATGGTGTGATTCTTTGGCGTACCCCTAGAGGGAGCCACACGTAACCCACTTTGAGAACCATTGTATTAGAACACTTACCTTCCAGTTTGTATGACAGCAAGCACAATGGAGACTGTGCCTTGATCTTGTAATGCAGCATGTAACTAGGGACATCCACTGTGTTGTTGCCCCCGGAAACCGACCCTTCCCAGGTGTAAACGTTACTGTCGATTATTGCAGATGCTTCAACCAACCCGAGCAGCGGAAGAGAGAAGTCCAAAGTCTCCGGTACGGTGAAAGGGGGAGGCTTCACAGTTAGAGGAGGGAGGTGAAGGCCTATTTTGGGCAAGTCGATTGGGGGAAAGGTCAGTTGCTCTGGGAAGTCCAGCTCTTGGGATGTTTTGCCTCCGAGTGGAAGAGGGAGAGAGAGGACCAGCCTGTCCTTGTTGAACTGGTATTGGAACAACCCATCACTGTATCGTTGAAACATAAAGATATGTTAATCCCCTCGAAAAAAAACTGAAATAATGCGTATAAGAATTTCTACGGCAACAGAATTTGAGATGAAAAATAAATGCTTCAAGATACATTCAAAGGTTGCTCATTGATGACGTATTAAAATATTGGTATTTGGCGGTGGTTCTTGAATCTGTGCAAGTAAATGTTCTAAATTTAGAACAACATCAATGTGTAACTTAGTGCGAGGTAGGATTGCCATTTCAAATTTTTGAGTCACGATCATTGTGTGATCAGAATACAGTGCAATTTTACGATTATTCACAATTATTGACATTATGAAAGAAAATCAATTTAGATCGTTTGTTTTTGTCTTTGAAATGCTGTTTTAAACAAATAAATGCAGATATTTATATAGCCTAATTGTTTTGTAGCAGTAGTAGTAGTAGCCATCATCATAGTTGTACTTCTAGGTGTTATGTCTGCATTTGTTTTGTTGACTAAGGATACATGCTTCTGGCACTTTAAGAGCACTTTTTAGGTACCCTGTAAAGTCCTTATGTTTACCTACCGCTGGCTTTTATAATCGTGATCATAGTAAAACAGTTTAATCTCGGCCTACTGTGAGGATTTGCTTCGTCCACCACTTTTCAAACATTGTATTTCTCACTGCCTTGACGAAGACTTACTGTATGTCAGTTATATTTAGTCCTATTTAGAGATAGAGGCAGATATCTGAACTTGAAAAAAGTAAAACATTGAACTATTTACAGCTTTCTTTTCATATTTTGGCTATTGTTTAACTCCCACTTTATGAGACTCTCTTTAATGTAATTTCAGAGTTTTCTCTAAATGTTTCACAATATGGAACTAAAGATACGGACTTAGACTTATTAGACTTAGACAGACGTTATTGATCCACAAGGGAAATTGCGAATTGATTTCAGGACTACCTGTAATCTTGGGTTCTCAATATATTCAATTAACATATTTTAACTTTTGTAAATATATATTGTATATAAAATATAAAATACTCTTCTTACTAGAGGAAGAAGAGTTTCTCAGGTAAAGGCGGCAGGGTAAGGTCTGAGATGCTCCTCTTGCTCCGCAGGTTTTCCAGAGAGGGGAATTGGGCTGTGAGTTTGTCTATCCAGATGTTCACTGCCTGCAAAAATATAATAATGTAAACATAAATGAAGTACAATGCACTCAAATCAATTGAGCATGAATGTCTGAAATGATGATTAGCATGACATTTTTTGAAAAATGTACTACCCAAATACAAACAACTGTTTCAACAACATTGGGCGTTCTGTCTGGGGGAATGTGTAGTAAATAATTCTTCATAGTAGGATGAATTAAGCCACTTACAACTCCAGCTAAGTTTTTCATAAACGTACAATATTAGCAATGTTCTACTTTGTAATAAAACCTGCGTAACATATTCAGAAAAGCTTTGTGACCAGCACCATTCGGCCAAAAGTGTCAAAATATGACTCACAGGGCATGTTTAAACAAACATGTTAAAAAGGTGAAAAATACAGTCTCTTTTATGACTATAGCAGTGCCAGTGCAGGTCATTAGTGATTTAAAGTGACTTATTGTGGTCAGGATGCCTCAGGCTGAGTTTACACGGAGACAATGTGGCAGTAAAACGGTATAGTTGAATGTCGGTTGCTACCAACCGTTCATACGAAGACAGTGTTCCAGGGGGGTGAAAACGTAAGTGTTCAGATCCAGCCTGCAGAGTGGGACAACTCAGATACGCTGCACAGCGGGGAGCTTCTTCACACCCGCGAGAGGGGAATAGGTGTGAAATCCCCCTCTGCTCTGACCCCCACCTCCCGCTGCTCCCCGCACGTAAATTTGGACATGCGCAGTAGCGGAGAACAAACATCAACAATAATGGCGCCGCCCACACAAACTAGCTTCGTGGGCTTCCAGCGCGGGACAGAGGATAATTCTACTCCTTCGTTCGTCCAAACGAGACCACGCGAAGCTCTAGGTTCAGTTTCCATGTTCACAGCTGCTGTTAAAATGCAGATAGATGTTGGTGCGTTCTGAGGGTCTGGCACAGGAAGTGAGTACACTGCCGAGAGGGGGGCTGGGCACGGGGCTCGGGGTCGTGTGTCGTGTTGTAAAGTTTATCTGCCCACTACTGGCCGGGCGCTAGAACTACATCGTTTTTCAACCTCATGTGAACGCTGAGAAATTTGCATTAGGAGCCAGGTCGTTTCTGTTAATAGCCTGGAAACGTCTGCGCAGCGTCTCAGTATAAACAGGGCCTCAGTCTTCCAGCTCCTCTACAGTCCTGTGCAGTGGGTTGGAGGTGTTGTCCATGATAGAGGTGACAGTGAATAGCACCCTTCTGTCCCTCACCTCCTCCACAGATTTGTTTTGATTAACAAACAAGTGTGTATGTGCTTAAAATAAGCTCTATTCTATATAATTGAGTCCTTTAAAGCATTAATCATTTCCAGGATGTTGGAGTATGCAGAGGTGTGTACAATTTTGTATTACCATTCTTCAGCTTTCAGATTCAGATTCATTTATTTGCCATTTGCAGTAAAACCACATTGTAATACTGTACATCCGCAAAGGTCCCCAATGTGCACAAGACAGGTACAAAAATAAAACAAGGTTAAAAAAAACATAAAACAGGAAGCAATTGACACTGTGAAATTGATCAACAACAACAGTTTAATTACAAAGGTGTAGGGTAAGCTTATATATATGTAGTATAATTATGTATGGTAAAGGTATTATTAGAGAAGAATAGTGTAGTACGGCTGATCTCTAGGCCAGAGTCCTGCCGTGCTCCACGAGTGGGATCTGCTTTTTATTTTGGGCACCAGCAGCGTGTGAAACACTGCACAGATCCAAACCAATTTGCCTCGAATCAGTCTTATAATCTAATAGGTAGTGAATGCGTAAATCGGCCAGTGATATCCAGGATTTATAAACACGACGCTCAGATGATTGAGTTAAAGTTTAACGTGGGTTTATTGACTACAAAAATGAAAATAGAAAATATAACGAAAAGGATTTCTGGTCACATTAAACAGAAGTTGTGTACATCTCATTCAAATCACACATTTAACAAAGGAACAGTCTTACTTTTGAGCCGTTCAAGGGAGATGGGTGACGAAAGATGAGGATGGAGATGAAAGGATGATGAGGGAGATGGAGATGAAGCATGGGGATGGAGAATATGTTCTCATCCACGTGGTCTCTTTGTCCGGGTAGAGAGGGACACTGGAGCCAGCGGGTACAGTTCAGCTTTTGATCCACGCGAATACAACACAGTCCGGAATGTGTTGCGGGCGTAGGGTCCAGAGCCAAAGAGGGAGGCTGGTGGTGGAATAGTCCGTGTCCTCAGGCAGCAGTATCAGGGCTGCGCTCACGGAGTGGGAAGGCCTCGGTGCGGGCAGAGCGCGGTCGTTGTAGAAGACACGTACTGCGCGGCCGCAGAGTTAAAGGAGAGTTGCAATAGTGGTTTCGGGGAGAGCCAAGAGAAAGAATCACTGCATTGTGAACTGGTTTTGTTGTGCTCAAAGGGGGCGCGTCCGTGACGTCATCCTTGTGCGTCTCTGTGGACAAACCCCTTCACAACAGACATTTTACAAAGGAAACACACAGGATTGATGCAAATGGCCACAGATGCCACCCAGTACACAGAGCACCAGCCCCTCACTGATCCTCCTGCAGGTGGTGAGTCCACAGCAGGTGGGTCAATGACGTGACGCCCAAAATCACTGTCCGAATACATTTTTTGTTGTTTAAAATATTATTCTATACAATCAAAACAGATCATATACATTTAGTCCCTCTCCTCTATGTGTAACCACATGTAATAGCATTTTCTTTTTTTAATGAAAGTGTCAAAATATCATGTGGTGCGACCGTCCACACATGAATCAAGTGTTGGACATTTGCTTAAAAAGTATCTAAATCTACTCAAATTTATTTTCTGTTCCATTTGGCATTTTTTCTGAAGTGTTTTTTAACCTCATGTGAAATTACAGTAATCATGTAATGATATTTTCTTCTTAACAGCTGAGGAAACTTTGTCCACAAGTGTCAATTTGAGGAAATATCATGTGGTGCAACCATAAAAAAACTAAATTTTTAAGATTTTATTTTGAAATCTACCCAAAGACACAAAGTTATATCAGAAACTACATTTGCAAAGGACCCACAGAAGAAGTTAGCAGGTTTAAAACTCTCTCTCATCTAAAATAAATAACAGCCTTTTAATTAAAGGGATGGTAGAAAGTTTCCAAATCTGGATGTCATGTGGTATGACCTCAACAAAATGATGACTTTTGTTTTACTTTCACAAATTGATTATTTTTTCTTAAATATAATTGTGACTCATCACAAGAAAAAAGCTTGATTTTTTTAGGTGTCCAATGCTATGCCTGTATATTTGGACTGAATATGAAAATATCATGTGGTGCGACCGTCACAGCAACCTCTCCATGACTTGTAAACATGATTTAAAGGACTTTTTTATGTTTTAATATGATATTGACGGTTTTTATATGAAAAAGTGGTCAATAGTCCATCCATCCATCAATTTTCTTCCGCTTTATCCGTTGCCGGGTCGCGGAGGCAGCAGTCTAAGCAGAGACGCCCAGACTTACCTATCCACACACACCTCCTCCAGCTCGTCCGGGGGGACCCCAAGGCGTTCCCAGGCCAGCTGAGAGACATAGTCCCTCCAGCGTGTCCTGGGTCTTCCCCGGGGCCTCCTCCCGGTGGGACGTGCCCGGAACACCTCCCCTGGGAGGCGTCCAGGAGGCATCCTGAACAGATGCCCGAGCCACCTCAACTGGTTCCTCTCGACGTGGAGAAGCAGCGGCTCTACTCCGAGCTCCTCCCGTGTGACTGAGCTCCTCACCTTATCTCTAAGGGAGCGCCCAGCCACTCTGCGGAGGAAGCTTGTATCCGCGATCTCGTTCTTTCGGTCATTACCCAAAGCTCATGACCATAGGTGAGGGAGGGAACGAAGATTGACCGGTAAATCGAGAGCTTTGCCTTTCGGCTCAGCTCCCTCTTTACCACAACGGTCCGATACAGCGACCGCATCACTGCGCACGCTGCACCGATCCGCCTGTCAATCTCACGCTCCATCCTTCCCTCACTCGTGAACAAGACCCCGAGATACTTGAACTCCTCCACTTGAGGAAGGACCTCTCCACCCACCTGGAGAGGGCAAAGCACCTTTTTCCGGTTGAGCACCATGGCCTCAGATTTGGAGGTGCTGATTCTCATCCCAGCCGCTTCACACTCGGCTGCAAACCGTCCCAGTGCATGCTGCAGGTCCTGGTTCGTTGGAGCCAACAAGACAACATCGTCCGCAAACAGCAGAGATGAAATCCTGTGGTCCCCGAACTGGTTATAGTCAATAGTTATATTGTTTAAAATATATAATCATGCTTTTTCTTCACTTTTTTCATGAATTTCAGAGAAAATTGGTTGTCAATATTATGCACATTTTGCAATTATAACTACTATATAAACATAAAAAAATTATTCAATCCGATGCCACTTTTGAGCAAAGAGTGCGCCACTGGCGACATGTGGCACTTAAGTCAGTACAGAAGCCAGGCCTGTCTGATGTTTGCTACAGAGCATTTGGATGATTCAGAAGAGGGAAAATATCCTATTATCCGATGAAAACAAGATATAACATTTATCATAAGATTTTAAGTGAAAACCTTATTTCATTAGCAAGGGCATTGAAGTCTGGGCATTACTGCTCCAGAAGAAACCTGCATAGAGGAATGGCAACAGTATCTAAAAACCTTGTGAAGACTTAAAGGGTGTCCTTTCCAGACAATGCGTTTTTACAGCAAAGTCAATAGCAACGTACGTTGGTGAGAATATTTTCATATATTCTATGCAACATTCTGTGCCAAATGTGACATATAAATGTCTCCATTGTGAGATCAATAAAGTTTATATAATCTTATGTCCGTTTCTGTGGCAGAGGTGGTGAGCACGGTGGCTCGACATATTCCGCAAATGCAGGAGATGAACAATAATCAACATTTTTGACCAAATTAATTTTAATTGAAATAACTGAATTGGATTGAAGCGAAAATGTGTCCAAAAGTTTGGACACACCTTCTCATTCAAAGAGTTTTTTATTTTCATGAT